AAGGAGAAATTGAAAAAAATTTAGTGTTTAACTTTTAATTATTTCTTGACAAGTATTTCTTTCATCTTATTTCTGTTGCTGTTCATCACAGCTCTCAGACCATCATTCTGTAGCTGATTGCAAGCAGTATGGGTCAGAAATTAAAAAAAAAAAAAAAGGCCCCTGGCAAGATTCAAATTTGTATCCTTTTCTGCCTGCCAAGAGAAGCTGCATAATTAATTAGACCAGGAAGATTATTGGTTAGAGAATCTAACCTGGATAGACAAAGCAAAAAGAATGAGCTAAAATCTTGCTAGACACTTATTCTGTAATAATTTAATTATTGCTGCTTAGAATGACTGTGAATTGTAATAAAATCAACTAAAAAGAGATTAAAGTTAATAATAATGTTTCAACTATTTGCAATAAAACTCAAGAGAAATAAAAGATGAAATAAATATTACTCAAAACTTATTAATAATGACAATACTTCATCTAAATTCAAAATAATATTACTACTAATACTATTTGTAATTACTGTTTATTTTGAGTCTCTCTCCTTTTATGGATATAAAATTTACATAATTGTTTTAATTTTGGTTTGCAGGGTCATTCTTTGTTGCTTGGGGATCCAATGTTACTTTTGAAAGGTGTCGGTGCCTGTGAATTTGATGGAAATGTTGATCAATTCTGTGATAAGTTTTGCATCAGAACCAAAGGAATGAAAGAAGTTCGTAAACTAAGACTTCAGCTGACAAATACTAGTATGTATCTTTTAATTCATCTATAAATTTAAAGAATCCATTTCTCCTTATAACCTATTAATGCCCACCATCCCATTTCTAAGGTGTTGGATATTAATGGGTTATAAGTAAAAACCTATAATTAATATCACTTTTTATTTTAATTAATAGCATTAATAGGTTAAAGAATATTTATAGCTGCAGCCATTTTTTGGTTAATATTTAAGGATGGTCTGTTTTAAATGAATGTACATTACATTTATCTCTAATGGGATATAGACTTAGATTAATATTAATTGATTTATCTGACCCTAATTGGTGGTGTGTCAGAAAGATAAGTCTTTTGAACATTTATTTATCTATTAACTATTGTTGCTCTATTTGTTTCTTTAGTATTGAGCACTTTGTTTATAAAAATCTGCTTGCCTTCAAACACATTAAACTCTGGTAATTTACTGGTTAATGTGTTTTGTTAGGTTGTTAATGAGGATTATTATTTGTGTGTGTGTGTGTGTGTGTACTAGAAATTAATATTTCTGAATGAGAGACTAACAAATTCTTAGCTACCTTTTAACATTTACTAGTTATCACTTTTATCCCAAGTTTTTTTTTCTAAAAATTTTCTTAAAATTTTCTCTTTTGAAGAATAAAGCAATTTCAAATGCAATCGGCAACTTAATGTGGCATGTGTTCATGCTCATCTCAGTAGTAATGATCCTTTTTTGGTGTTTGTTACAAAAAGTGAAAAGACAAAAACAAATGAAAAGATCATTAATTGCTGCATAAAATGATAATGTTTTCTAAAAAATATTATCATATTTTTAGTTAGAAATAAAAAGTTTTACAGTGTAAGTATCATTATTTAATGCAAGAATTCTTAATCTTTAAATTTATTTTTTCATTTCGGTCATGAACATTCTTACAAAAAACAATTTTTCTAAATTGTAAGCGTGTATGTTAAAATAGTCTGCTGCCGATTAGGAGTACAAGTAAAGTTGACCTTTTAAGATTTATATGTAGTTTTATTAGACAGAGTAGTCTCCCCTTATTAACAAATATGATATAAAGTCAATAAACAGGAAGTGAATTGATATCAAGCTTCAGGGCCCCCTTTGTCAGGCTTTAGACAAGTATGTATTTTTTTTATTTATTTCTGCAATTAGAAATAAGTCTGCAATTAGTGCAGAATTAGGTTAATGTATAATTTTTCTGATTTGCAACCGCTTTTTAAGATTTATCAAACTACTGGCAAAAATATATAACTTGTAACATTTTTTTTAAAAAATGATCAGAGGCTGTTAAATAAAAATACATATATAATTTATGGAGAAGTTGATATACAGGTAAAATCACTTATTAGCCATTATTTTACTGTCTTTTCATAAATCAGTCCTCAAAAACAGAATAGGATACAGTTTTTTTTTGTTTTTTTTTTTTTTTTTTTAATTTTGTTAAAGATGCATTTTTATTCAAGCACCTCTTTCACCACCAAGACTTAAGGGAATAAAAAAGGAAATTTTTTTGTTAATTTGTTTATAAAGGGAAGTTAACTGTTTATCATTTTGTAACAGGGTGCTGGTTGTGTTAGTTACATGAAAATGCAAAATGGTGATTTGAGGTGATTAGAAATAAATTGTAAAAACTCCTGAGGACTTTTAAATAATTAGGAAAAAAGAAACAGAACTAAAATTACATCAGATATATAAAATTAAGTTGATGAAGGAGAGTTGAACCCCGATTGAACAGCTTTGGGTCTGCATATGATTGCAGTTTATAATTTACCAAAATGTCAGAAACAAGATGATTGGCATCAAAAATGATTTTGTACCAGAGATTTTATCTGCTGAAATCCTCGGTAAACAAAAAAAAAAAAAAAAACTTAAGTAAACATTTATCTTTTTATTTTCAGTAAACCTTGCTGTTCCTGGAATAAATCTTTGCATCGACCCCAAAATGGAGCCCCCTACTGAATCTCATGCTAAATTACTGCGACAGATAGTTCTGGCTGGCTTAGGTGATCATGTTGCCAGGTAAAACTGAATTATTTGATTGTTTTTATTACAGTTGAGATTCAACTATAGATTGAATTTGCAATATTTTTACTCAGTTGGTTTTTATTTTATCTTGCCCAGTAACTTAATTTTATGGATATTTTTATTTATACGAATCTTGCCCTGGGATTACTTCAACGTAAAAATTTAACTGAATCATTTATTTAGTAAATTATTTAGTTAATATTAACAAACTCAGATTTTTTTTTTTTTAAATCTGTGAACTACTTTTGGATTATTGAAGATATACAGGTAGCCAAGCTGTGGATTGTGTTTAAACTCCATCTAGTACATTTTGCATTCATTTTGTTACTTATGCCCCTGGAAAATGTATGAATCCACTTCTACCCAACGCTTATAGGTAAATAGAAGAGCAGTTAGAACTTCCAAGGCAATCTAAATTTAGCACTGTAAAAACTCACTTGGTAACTGAAATTGTAGTAGCATTGTTTTTTGTGGTTGCAGCTCTTGAATCTGAAGCAAGAAACACGCGCACACACACACACACACACAACAATTTTAACCTCTTATTTATGAGTAAAATTGTAACTTCTCAGTACAATGCATGACATGATTATGGATATCAGTGTATGTTTCCACTTTTTGTTAACTTATACTTCACTATTATCATATAAGATTAAAATAATATCACTGGAATTCTGCAGAACAAACTAATACCTAAAATGTTGACAAGTAAGAAAAAAAGCAAATTTTTAATGAATCCTTTTTGCAACTTGTGAACATTGGATGTTATGAAAATATTTTCATTTAAAACAATTTTTTTCATAGACGTATTGATATTTTACCTGGAGATTGCACAGAGGAAAAGAAAAAGCAGTTAAAATATGCTTATGAGGTAAGAAATTTTATTACAATTTTGTTCGTTTTTTTTTTTTTTTAGGATTTATTACAGAAATCAAAATTTTCAATCACTTTACTGATTACATACATAATGATGCAGCAACATTTAGTTGTAGGAGATGGGATGTTTTAGTGCTCACTGCCTTTGAGCCAGGTATATATAAGCAAAGTTTGGATTTTTTTCAATGCCCACTGAATTTACCACCACTCCCCTACTTTAATTATTTTTCTGTACCAACAGATTAAAAAAAATTATGGTGCTAAGGAAAAATAAATTTTTGATTAAATGCCTAAAATTTGTTTTAACAACTTTTGGTGTTCAGTGTGGTGGAGATTGTCAGTGATCAGTAATTAGGGCAAGCATGATTACAATGGCTACTGAAAAGATATTGGCTTGACCAAAAAACTTTAAAAAAAAAGGTGATGTTTCATCATTTGGTCAGATTTTGGGAAGTGGGCTAGAATGAGAACTTTTCATCTCCCTCTGTTAACAAAATGAGGCTATTATATGTGTAATTATATTTATCTGATATCAGTATGTATATAGTTATTAATATTTTTTCTGTTTGTCTTTCTATTTCAGACATTGGAAACCTCAGACCCTGTTTGGATCCATCCTGATTCAGTTCTGTATAAAAAGCGGCCAAAATATGTTGCATACCAACATATTCATGAGACTTCAAAGCCTTTCATGAAAGGTATTGTAAAATTATATTAAAATATTCATTTATTTTATTTACCTTATTTCATCCTTTCTGAACTTGCAACAAATTCTTTCTAAATTGGTTTGTTCATTTTTGGATGTTAATACCAATTTTTTTTATTAAATTTATACAATCATTTCTCTAAGTTAGAAAAACAGAAAAAAAGTTTGATACATGTTCTTAGTTATTGACATAAAGAAAATTAATAAGTTTCTTGACCAAATAATTTACAACTGAAAATCTAAATTGGTGTTTCCCAATCTTTTGACAACAAACAAATAATTGCCAGTCTCTCATGTTAAGAAACACTGATTTAAATATTGTAAAATATTGCTATAATCTAAAATGATTTCACTGAAAATTGCTATTTAAGATATGTAATTTACTAAACTGCTGATTATTGATCTTTGCATGTGGTTAGTTTGAACTATTTTCCTCCTCTTTTTTTTTCCCCTCTACACATTTTGACCATGCTTTACTAGAGTATCTGTTGTGTTCTAGAATATTACAGAAACTTGTTCAAATAGAACATGTACATGCTGTAATCAATATTCTCTTCTTGGGATGGTTTCCTTGTGAACTCCTTTTGAAATTTGCACATATCTCTTGAACAGAAGGAACTAAAAAAAAGTTCTCAGCCTAATCCACCTACCAAATATCAGAAGGGAGATGCTTCTTGGACAAACAGAAAACTTTTCATCACTTGTTTCTTCTTAAATAAAACCAGACAAAGAAATTCATCCAAACCAACCGCATACAATGATTCAGACAAGAAGCTAAATATTGAGTTTTGAATTTATCTCTGCTTAAGAATTAATGAAATAAGTGCTGTAACATTCTAGATCTCAATCTGAGATATTTTTTTATACAACATTAGTTTTAACTAACTTACAAGTTCCTTAGTTCAGTTCAATTGAGCTCTTAAGATAGAATGATTATAAATTCAGCATTGTTGCTGATTCAAATATTTTATTTTATTTTTTCTTTTGCAGTGGTAGCTGGTATAGAGCCAGAATGGTTTCCCTTAATTTTACCCAATATGTGTACTTTCTCCAAGCCTGAAGAAGAACCAGCACCAAGATATGATTCCCAAAAAGGAAAAGTACTTTGCCACATGGGAGGCACATTTGGTCAGTTACAAAAATATATTTAACTACATTAATTTTTTCCACTCCTCTTATTGAAAATACTCTACTTCATTTAAACAAAATTTTAGCTTTTGACCAGTTTTTCTTTCATTTTATTTTAATTGCTTCTTCAAATATCTTTTTTGTTGGTCAATACAATTTTCTTGCTTATTAGTCTTTTTTTTTTTGTTCTTGCCAACATTTTCAATTTCTTTTTTCATTCTTCTTTGATCTCTCTTCAACAATTTTGAAAATGATGTTCCCATTACTTACAACATGTTCTTTCTCTTTGATATGACCCATGGCAATCATTATATATCTGAAATTTAAAAAAAAAATAATAATACTATTAAATACTTACTCATACTTAATAGAACAGCTTAGCGTTGCATAATAAAATCTTGTGCTACCAAATAAATTATTGTAAATATTTCTAATAAAGACATACTGAAATTGACAATGTATATTTATTATAAAGTTTAATATTAAATGGTTAATACTAATTTTATTGTGAAAACATTGACAAAGATACTAAAATCTTACATAGTGTATCTTATCTGTTTTTACATTTTTTTTAGGACCTCAATCATGGCCTTTTACGCCTACAGAAATGGAATATCCATCTGGTATAGATTGTTGCAGATGGTTTGCAAGGTTCTTACTAGAAGGGCTTGTGTGTCCCAAATTAAAGAAATTTGTTCCAGTTCTTTCTGAGCCACCTTGCATTATGATTAAATTCTGGTCAAAGTAAGTTTTATTCATGCTATTTAGTCACAGGTTAATGACTTTTTGAAGAAATTGTTTCTGTATTTTACCAAATCTTATATTAAAAGATTTTTTGCTGTATTTTTTTTTTTTTTTTTTTTTTTGAGACAATCTTATCACTTTCTATTATTCTCTTTATAAAAAAATATAGATTGTGATTATCAGTTAGGAAAACTAGAGACCTTAGCAGTTGAAAAGGGGTGGGGAACACTGCAAAATCAGTATTAGTCTTATTTACTAATGAAGTTCATTAGGCTGAACTGAAAAATCAATTTCCAATTTAAAAAAAAAAAAAAAATTCTGATAGCAAATCAGAGCAAGAAATTATCTCCTTTTATCACTCGAGTACTTTATATGATGGCTTATAAATATTCAAATATGTTCACAAACTTAAACTTTTCTTTTCAATTTTTTAAGAATTTAAACTGATTTTTCTTTTTACATATCTAATCACTCACAGTAAACAGTGACAAGCAAAGGAAATAAGCCACTCAACTAAAAAAAGAAATCAATTTCTTTAACTTTGTTGAAAACTTAAAGCTTCTTAGTAAATGTACTTTCAGAACAAGTATCTGTGGCCATTCGGGAATGTAGTGCAAGTCATCACATCATATATGAAGAGATGCAGGTCTGAATACATTGTAATGCTGAAAATAGGGCATGCAAAAGTTATGAGCCACATAAGGAAAAGAAGCATTAAATTTATTTCTATATTCAAGGACATTAAACATCATAATCAGTACCAATTTTGTAAAATTGCAATGTTATCATTAGATCTGTATAGTGTAGAATGATGACAAAAAAAGTTCAACAGTTTCTTAAATTTTTTTTTAAGCTTTGTTTGATATTTACCAAGTGTTGTTTATTTTGTTCTTCATTGTATATTTATTAAAAATTATTTATTTTCTATATTCTACAACAGATTAGGTTACTTTCTTTAGTGAATAGCTCTTTATAATTGCTTTAATAGCCACTTATAGAATATTTTCTCATTTAGGTTAAAACCACAGACTGAGGTTTTATTGAAACCTTTATTGGCTGCAAACATCACTACCAAAAAATCACTTCTCAAACAATGGACAAAAGATGATACCTGTAAGTAAAAGAATATTTAATACATTTTTTTAAACCAGTTAAAATTAATAAATCATCATTTGGATTAATGTATTTCCTTCCCTTTCTTTTTCTTTCAGTTTTGCTATTTGAATATTCTCGCTGGCTTCCCGAGGAACATCATCCTGAATTAAAGAAGCAATGGCCTCCAGTTTGAATTTTTCTATCCGTAAAGATATTTTTTTCTGGAAAACAAAATTCTTAATTTCAATGCAATATAATTTGGAAAACCTATATCAATAAACTTAAATTCTTGTAAATGGCACATCAAACTTACTTTAAAACAGAATTGTAGGTCATTTTCGCTTCCCTTGTTATTTTTAATGAAACTAAACTACATCCATAACCTCAAAGGAGGGTCATACAGACCCCCAAAGCTACATTTTTAAAAAATAAACTTTCAAGCTGAATTTTCATACAGTAAGGGACATTTCAAGAAAATTTTTTTTTTTTTTTTTTTTTTTTTTCAATTTGAAAAAAAAAATCATTGTAAAATTGTACACTAATTGTAATCAAAGATTACCTGAAAAATATGGAAAAAAAAATCGAGAACACTTCATGCAAAATTTGATTATATTACATTTCTGAAACTTATTTGGAAGACAGCTCCTTTTATTAAGCCTAACTTAATAAATGTAGGGTAAGACTCCCAAGTAAGATTTGCTTGTTAATCACAGTTTCAATTCCTTATATATTCTGTACATTTGAATAGTTTTCTAAATTACTTAATATATAAAAATGAAATAACTGCAGTGATGTACCAAATTAATCCTTTGTCACCTGTGAAGAAAAAAAGAAAAACTGAAGTCTTGTCAGCTATAATGCATACTTGAGGAAGATCAAAACAGAGGAAATAATAGATTAATTACAAAGTAGTTTGTGTTGGTTAAAAGGTAAAAAGACTGAAAGAAATACAAGTTATCCCCAAAGACTGATACACAAAACAAGTATATTAAAGTTTAACAAAATGTTTGTATCTTTTTATTTTTATCGATAGTTAGTATTGTTTTTGTAACATTGTACTATTGAACTATCTTTAAAATTTAAAAGGTGAAAGTAACTAATATGTAGGTAATGATTTTTTTAATCATTTCAACTCCACCCACCCACCCCCAGCAAGGCAATAAAGCCACTAAGATGCAAAAGTTTACTGGGAGTGTAAGAGAATGAAAAGACTTTAGTGAGAAGAGAGGACAAAAGAGCATGATGTAAGAAGGCAGAAGATGCTGATTGATGTTGCATTTAAATTTTTGAGGATTGCAGCTGGCAGAGAAGCAAGAAACCAGAAAAATGTTTCACAGGCAAAAAAAGAAACTATTTGAATAGAATTTACAGTTACACCTAACCAGTAAATTGATGAGACCTAGTTGCCAATCTAGTATTGCACTTAAATTCATGCAGTCGAGGTACCAAGAAATAAAACTCATCAGAACAATTGCCATGAAAATATTTATAGAAAAGACTGAGGAGAAAGTGACTAAAGTAGAGATCCCGGATCAGGATCGATAACATTACAAACTCTTCTTTAGGCTTTTTCAAGAACCTTGAGATATATAGCCAGGACAGATATGATAGTAGTATCCAATGCACAGATAAATGGTAGATTTATAAATGTGCTAGATGGATTCTGAAAAGAAAAATTGTTTGGCATGACACAGACAACTAACTTATCTAGCAATTGATTCAATATAATCTTTCTACTTCATGCCAGTGAAAAACATGAGCCAAGGAGACATAAAGAGTTGCTCTCCTTGAAGTTAGCATCAGCCATGCTGATGGAAAGCAAAAATTGTTCATTATGATGAGTAATAGTTAGCAGTTTTATTTTGGGGGTGTTAAAATTTACAAGCCATTCCTTGCCCCAAGTAATCACCGATTGGAGGTCATTTTTTGAGTGCAGTTGACATTTTTACTTAGTAGTAAGCCTGATATGTCCGACAAAGACATGAGTAAATAGTTGTCATCAGTATTGATGAAGATAAGAAACAATGTAGGTTCTAGGATAGTCTTGTTGGACTCCCACATTAATGTGAAATGACCTAGAGGTATGTCCATTCAACACAACTTTCATTACATGATTTGTTAAGGGTTAAAAATAAGTGGATTAAGCCAAATATTTGTTCAGAGACACCATAGCCTGTGAACTTATGGAAAAGGTCAACATGCCAAATACTGTCAAAACACCTTTGAGATATTTAAAGCTATAGCCCAAGCCTTGCTGTTCTTATCTAAATCCTTACAGACAAATTTAATAATAACCATCAGTAGACCTAGAGAAATGAAAGCCATAATGTTTATCTGAAAGAAGGCTGTGCTTAGTCAATTTGGTGTTGATTAGAGCCTTTAGTATTTTGCCAAAAAAAAAATGATAAAAAAACCTAATGGCAATAATTCGAGGGGTCTGAAGGTCTATTGGAGTTCTTAAAAACAGGAACTACAGAGGAGGATTTCCAACAAACTGAAAAGCAAGAGGCAGTGAGGCATTTACTGTAGAAAACAGAAGCCAGTACAGAAGCACATTTTCTTAGGTCAATTGCAGGGATTCTATCAAATCTGCAAACCTTGTGAGGATTTATTTTAGAGATGATAACAGAAACTATGGATGGAGTTATGTGCATATCACTCAGTAGAGATTCCATTCTAAGGGGAAAATCAGGCAAAGATACTCCTGAAGAGTCAAGAGTGGACTTGGGAGAGAATTTCCAGGCAAAGCATCCTGCTTTATCTGCAGTAAATAATACATCATAATGATTGAGGATTTACTCTTGTTACTACACTTAAAGTGCCACCAGTAATCTCTAGAACCAAAACTATGAGAGACTATACAATGTTTCATTCTATCAGTGAATAGTGACTTTGCCTCATTGTGTTCATGCTTACACATTGTGAGCAGATACAGAGAGATATCTGTTATAGCCATAAGTGATACTTGGGGCTATAGCAGCTGAACAAGCAAAAGTGAACCAAGGGGAAGATTGCATTTTTACTTGGGATATGCCAGCTTTCATCCAGAAAGACCCTCAGTGGCAAAATTTGCAAAGAGATTATTATTAGGTCATGCAACCTTAGCAGCAGGTCACATGGAATTCAACAGCTCCCTGATTTACTGTTGATTTGTTTCAGCCTTCTTCAACGGTAGCTCCTACTACTAGCTTCAACCAATCATTCAGTTTATATTCATCTTACCCAATTCTCACTACACCTCAAAACTCATTATTCCTCAATTATTTTCTCTAACCCTAGGGGCATTTGCCCGGTCGGTGGGGCATCAGAATATGCCGACTGCCCCCCTGCAGAGGGTAAAAGTCCCTCAATGGGGCCACCTGTTGGCCGTGGGTGGCGACCCGTAATGTCTGGGGACGGGATCCTGGTGGTTGAGCAGGTTGTAACCCAGGTGTAAAGCAGTCACAATCCTGTAACACACCACTTTGGCCCTTACCTGGGCTAGACGGGCTGTCGGAGGGGCCCGATCCGATCAATCGGCTGGTCATGTCAAGCCCCATCATATATAATCCACCCCAAACCAAAACTAACACTTAACCCTAAATATGTGATGGAAGGCGGTGGCTGAGGGTCAATCAATTTGGGAGAAAAAAAGGATCTGACACACCTGCTAAACCTTCACAGCTGTAATACTTGTATAACGGAAACAAAGGAACACGCGTGCTCAAAGACTCCTCTCAAAGAGAGTATATCATTCACGTAGCCCCGACATGGCAAAGCGAATGGGTTTCCCCCTTGTCATGTCCCAATACTGGACTCCGCGGTGGGTAGGGAGCGTGAATGATGAACAAAAATAAAAACAATCAATGGAAAAAAAGAAATCTTCCAAGAGACCACATGTGGATAATGACTCGGAAACAGAAAATGATAGTGAAAACTTTCCACGATTTATTGTTCTCGAAGCAATAAACAACAAAGCACTAACAGAAATATCTCCATTTAAAATACAAAAAGCTATATCAAATATCATCATACCAAAAACTGGAACATTACTAGTGGAAGTGGAAAAAAAGATATATGCGAATACACTAATAAGACAAAAAAAACTACAAGAAATAGAAATAAAATCCTACCCACACCAAACCCTAAATTTCTCAAAGGGTGTAGTAAAAAGCAAGGAGCTCTCCCTGTGCACTCTAGAGGAGATAAAAATAGAACTCCAAACTCAAGGTGTTACAAATGTCAGAAGAATCACAATAAAGAAAAATGAAGCAGAGATACAAACTAATACCTACATTCTAACTTTCAACTCCCCCCAAGTTCCGACAACAATTAAAATTGGATATGAAATTATAAAAGTAGAACAGTACATACCAAACCCTCTTCAATGCTATAGATGCCAAAAATTTGGGCATCACAGAGATTCCTGTCAAAACAAAAAACGTGGAAAATGTAGTGAGAAAGAACCAGAACATAAAGAAGAGAACTGTCCAAATGAGAGCCTATGCTCAAACTGTTTGGGAAACCATTCTGCCCTTTCAAAACAATGTAGTATCTATAAACGGGAAAAAGAAATAATCCTAATAAAATACAAAAAAATATATCTTTCTCAGAAGCACGAAAGGAAGTTAAAAATAACATAAAAGAAAACACCTACGCCTCCATGGTACAAAAAGCAAATAAAATAAACAATGAAGATAAAATAAAAGGTTCAAGTGAAATAACAAATTTATGTAAGGAATTAAAAACTCTCCTTGAAGAATTAAAAACCTTTTTAATCGAACTTAAATCGGATCAAAATAAAACTCAACAACCCAAATCAAATGGAATTAACCCAGAAGAAGGCAAAAAACTCTGGAAAGAAAACATAGAACAAAACTCCAGCGAACCCTCTTCTTCCCAAACCCAAACCAAGAAAATGAAAAATAAACAAAAAGACAAAAAAGTGACAACAGAACAAGAAAACACTCTATCAAGATCTAACTCAAAATCAAGAATCAATGTATCAAATGAAAATAAATTTGAACCTATGGAAATAGAAGAGAAAGAAAATAAACAAAATCCAAAACAAAACCCAAAATCTGACCGAAGGGGACACCACAAGCAGTTGAAGACAAAGCTTCTAAAAACTCAAGAGATGGAAAAAAACTGGAGAGGACAAATGATATAAACCTAATAGGTAACTTTACCCAAAATGAAAATATAACCATGGCA